GTCCAGAGCATCGTATCACAGATCTTGAATACACTGATGTAGTCCTTTTTGCTGACAGTTATAACGAAATGCAATACTAAATAACATGTCAGAAACTGCGGCAAGAATCGGACTCAGGATCAATGTAAATAGAACGAAAGTCTTTTCGTCTTATGTGCAAGAAGCTGATAAAATGCCTCTTTTTGTAAATTCATTGCCGGTTGAGGAAGTGCCTGATTTCAAATACCTTAGGTCCACTCTAATGGACAGGCAAAAGATATTATAACTCGGATCACGGAAGCTAGAAATGCGTTCTTCTGGTTGACGAAATCTTTATGGAATCGTCGTGAAATCACCATAAAAGCGAAACCTCTATATTGCCGTGATCCGTTCGATCTTAATATATGGTTCTGAGACAATGAGAGTGGAGGATATTACGAAGTTATTTGCCTTTGACCACTCTTTCTAAGGTACATTTTATGGGTCCGTCAAACGTACATCATAAGATCGCATCCATCTTCGTTCAAATACCACTTGCATAAATAATATTATCACAGAGCGCCGCCTTCGCTGGTTAGGGCATATTCTCCATCGTCCACCACAGGAGTTGACCCATATTTCGTTATTTGCTAAATCGTGTGACGGTTGGCATCAAAAGCGAGGTGGGCCAATAAAGACCTGGACTGATACGGTGAGAAAAGATTTTGAACGTATAGATGGACCAGCAATATATGGATTTAGACGATGGAAAAAGGAATGGCTTCTCGACGATGGCATCAGACCGCGCCTCTTGGAAGCGTCTTACTCTTGTAGAGCCAGCTTAACCAGTAATGGTGAGAGCTGTTAAAAGAAGAAAAGGAGTGTAGGTAGCAAGCAAATCAGTCAAAGATCTCATTATTGGGATTGTAGCGTTCAGTCAGAGGTGCAAGGAGACTTGTGGATCACATCAAATATGTGGCAGGCTAAGTCAAACGTTCACCTAGGAATCAATTTAATTCAAATTTCCTTCTCCACTTCCTTATAGAAAGATTGTAATAAGTTATAAGGAACTTAGGAGACAATAAAGGTACCTAAGGGTCGTATAAAAAGAATTCTGCTAATGCTGCTGATGAGAAATGACGAAATAACAAATTTGGTATGGTATTAGTAGTCGCTTGTGAAAATTTGGTGTAAGGACATTTAATTTCTTTGTTATGAATGGCTAAAAATGGCTAAATAATGTAGAAGGTAGTTTTTTTATTTTAGTTCTTTTATTTTGGCGGTTTTTTCTTTAGATATTTTTTGAGTTTTTTGTGATTACAGCGAGGTTTCGGAGATGCCAGGTTCCAAAGCTGCCAAGAAGGTTTATGGGGTTTGAAAGGTTTATAAATTATGCATCTAAAGGAATATTACTACTGGGTTAAGATAAAAGGGAATTATTGCGAATGGATTTTAAGTAGGAATAACCGGATTTTTAGACTATCAAAAAGATATTTAACATTTAAAGGTACGACAAAGACTAGTACACTGAATTTTTTTGGGCAAATATAGCAAAATGTCAAATTCTGACATAAGTAGAAAGGTTTTATTCCTATTTTTATTCATTTCTTAGATAAATAAATAAAGGAAATATAGCTAAAAGAGGAAATTCATAGGATTTATTGAAATGAGCAGTGATTATTTATTATCATAAATATTTAATATTTTTTATTCAATAATAAATGCAAATGTGATAAGATGATAAGATCATTTATAAGTATTTCGATAAAAAGATTTAGTAGATCCAGCCACTTGTTTAATGTGAAGTGAACTATTGGTATGTGAATTTCATTTTCCGAATAAATTTCCCAATATCAAAAATGACTGCTCTTACAATTTGTAAGCTCATATTATTATTGATATTGAAATTATACAGGTAAGTCGCGATCTTTACTCAGCTTTTTGGATAGCTACTCTTTCCGAGAATTCCAGTATTAGCGCTCTGAACTGGGCAACAACCATTCCACTCTCTTTTTATTTTTCTCCATTAGGCAACACTCCTACCCGTCGAAGAGTGGTGCTCGAACCGAAACCTTGATTGTCAATGGCAGTTATCTTGCCACAAAGCTACAATGAAACATATTGGTATATAATAGTTATCACTGTCATTATTTTATTTTATTACCATTATGCAAATAATTTTGAAAAAATATTTATTTGAATAAATTTAAGAAAGAGAAGAATTAACAAGTATAAAATTTATATTTAAATATTTAAATTTATATATATATATTTAAAGTGTAAAATTTGCTGATTATTACGTCGATTGCGGAAATAAATTTTGAAATCACAAAAGCAATTTCATTGCACTGATACGATAAGCATTATCATTTGGTATGACATTTCCTACCAGATCTTTCAATTGCATTTCAAGTATATGCTATATAGTCTCATATATTGCAGTTCGAGTATTATGTTTGGCATTTCGTTATTCGCGATGTTCAAATAGACAGTTCAGATGCTGGCATTGTAGTGTGAGCATTCAAAGTATTTCAGCGAATGTGTTTACAATAAGTGCACGTCATATTCGGTATTCGCATTTTAGGTTTCAAAAATTTTATCAAGTTTTAAGTTTTTTATCATTTACAATACTGATATTGCTCGATTTTTATCAAAATAATGATATGCAAATTTAGCAGAAACGTTTAGTTGAAGAAACGGCCAACCGAGCGAATTACCATCGAATTTTAGTTAGATAATTAATGCAAAACTGCATGATTGTCGACTGTCGATGGCGACACCTTTTGCTGTTCAACTTCGACTCCCGAAGCGCAAGTTGAAATTTCCTTTTTGACGCATTTGACGTACTTTGTAATATTCGAAGTAAATGGATTCGTTTATTTTCCCTTTCATTTCTCGTTTTTCAATACAAATACGAACAATAAACGGCTTATATTATTGATCACCGCATTAAAAATTTCGTCTTCTTTATCGCAAATTGTTAATTTTAATATAAATAATAATAATAAAACGGCGTTGAAATGGTTTCATTTGTCTTTGCCTTTGGAATTTCGATAATATTTGATTTTAAAATTTTGGCATTTTTTGTTGTTAAATTCGCTCATTTATTTCCTACTAAATTTGTTTTTTTTCTTTCGCAAGTTTTCGTGTAATTCGCTGATAATTCGTTGATCGATAGGATTCGCCGAAGGCTCAGTCGTTGTTGATCAATCTCGGAACCTCGAAGCAGGACTCCTACTTCCGACAGGAGCAATTCTCTTTCTCTCTTTCGAGTGATGCATGGCCCGTTGCGCTTCTAATGCCAACTAATTCCTTGGCCAAAGTTGTGTGCTACAGTATGCAACTAGCGGATTGAAGTGTTTTGAATCTGAGATGATATGCCCAAATTTACAATAACCATTCTCGAACGTAACACCTTTCCACGCACATTCATTGTGGTATTTTCGGGCTATATTGCCGATTATTATTATTTAGCGCTTGATTAATAGCAACTGGCGCTATCAATTTTCATTTATAAATGGACTGTCCAATCATTCTATCTTTACGAACTAAGGTGAGGTCCTATTAAGTTCCTCCAGGCAATAGACTATATTCGATCTTCTGGATTAATTTCGCGCAAATATAGACATCTCCTGGAGACTCAAGTCCACAAGCAAATACTTGATTTTTTTTCTAAATGCTCAATTGGCTTGTTCTACTGGTCTTCGACCAAAAATTTCATGGGGAGGAACGATTGCACTTGGTATTCGTAACACTTAGGTTTATAAGCTTATAGAATCTCTGATATGCGAATTGAAGCAACTGTACTATTTGACCATCCTTCTCTCAAAATTTGAATTGGTATGATAATTCTTTCAACTGCTTCTATTCCTTGTTACTTTAAAAGTTAAAAAAAAGTTGCTCCTTCATGGATGTCATTTGCAAGTTATTGGAGTCCGGTAAAATGATGAGACTTCTGTTTTAGCAAAGCCAAGAGAATCACAAGAGAATTGATTCTTAATATGCATTTTATGAGATAATATTGGGTATTTCTGATTGAGAATAAATCCTATATTGTGTTTTCACAAATGTTCTCAAGAATAATGGTTTTATAACTTATTCATGTTATATTCAATGGACTTTCTCACTTTTACAAATGCCCTTTTACACTTTTACAAATGATATCACATCTTTTTTTAAATGGAATGATCCAAATATTTTCGATAAAGTTTCTGCAATCGTATGTGAAAATTGAATGGTATCTCCATTTTCTTTAGCGGATTACTTCACCTAGGACTCCGTCCCTCATTCTTCCGACCGCCATCTTCAAGGAGCTTGCAGGGCCATTTCTTTTCGAATATTTGGCCACATGCTTATGGAATCGGTTGAAATCAGTGGATTCTCCTTACTTTTTTTCCATTTTCAGCTTTAATTATTAAAATGCAGTTCAAAACGACAAAACGTACTTTAAAACATCCTTCACTGTATTCTGTTCCATTGTAAAGGCGTACGTTTTTCCCATTTTTTTCATATCTTGAACACTGTATTTATACGTTTTTCAGATATTTTTAAGTATATATTTTGATAAAAATAAAGAATGGGCACGGAATATATGAAATCAGTTCATGGAGCGGTAACTGCGCTGCAAGTTGTAAGTTCAGGCATCAAATTTTTTTTTTTACTTTGGACTATTTATAAGATCAGTCAAATATAAAGCATTCTCACTGAACTGAGATATATTAAAAATTTCTCTGGTAAATGATCAGATAAAATCTTCGATATTCCAATTAACTAATGGTAAATCTTTTGCAAATTTAAATCCAATTTTTAGAAATGGCAATAATATTTCGTAATTTTGGTTTATAATGTTTTTGAAATTTTTGCATTTTTAATAAATTTAATATATTTCACATTTATAAATCACATTAATGTTTTCAAAATTATAATAATTTAATCCAACGATCGCCTTTCAACGATTTGAAATAAATAAAAGAAATTATTGAATTGTCCAAAATGTCCAAATATCCATTTATCCATTCAGTTTTTTTTGATTTGTTTCAAGATTAATTTATTTATTTCAGTTGATCGGTTTTATTGCAATATTTGCAAGTTCATTCATATGGAATCAGTCGAATGTTTATTTCCAGTTGGGTTATCGTGGCTTCGGGTGGCAAACATTAATACTGGCTGTATTAATAGTTACATGGTTTTTGTCCCTCATTATATTGTTTTCACAGTTTGCTGACCGTGATATATTAGTTAACCTTGGAAAATATAAGGTTTATCATTTTTTATTATTGTGCTTGATAACTTTACTAGTTAATTTTTTAATTTTCGCTGAGTCAAATTTCTTACCGAATTTTAAATTAAATTTCTCATTTATCACGAAATTATCTCGAATAACTCAAAATTAATGCTCCCATTATTTTCATGTAATTTAGGTGCTTTGTCTATATGCTTGTTGCTGTGTCGCGCTATTTATTGCTGCTTGCCTGGAATCGTGGTATTGTAAATTAGCTTATGGTGATCCTATTCTTCATCCTCGTTTCGTCGTAGTGACGGTATCTTGCTGTTTGTAATTTCGAATTAACGATATATTTCAGTAATAGAAAGCGGTACTAAATATTAAAGAAACTTAAGAAATAAGAAACTTATATTGTTTAGAATTAAGGAAATCAACTCTTACATATCCATATGTATAAATAAAGTTGGAAGTCTATTAAGGAATTTATCACCATAACTACGGCAAAACTTTAATAAACTTTTAATTCGCGTCAAATCATCTCTTAATCACCGATTTTGAAAAATTTAATATTTTTGATATTTTTCAAACCTTATTTGTCGTTTTTTTCTAAAAAATATTTGCTCCGCTGGTTTATTGGACTAGAAAAATTTTGCCGAGGACTCATATGGTGATAAAAATACATATAAATCGCTAGAACCATATATAAATACTTTTTTCAACTTGAAATAATTTGTCTTGTTTCAGGTAATGTGCTGGATACTAGTTGTTTCTTATATATTTATGGCACTGACTTCATTGATGCTTTGACTCATTTTATGTCTTCAGAATATTAAGAAGAAAGTTTTCCACTTTTTTTCAATCCAAAGTGGATAATATGTTTTCACTTTGTTAAAAAATTTTCCTTCATTTTTTTAAGTTTTATGCAAAATTTTGCATATAAAAGGCCCTTTTTTTCGTGAAGAAATCGAAAATCTATTAGAAATCTTTTGTATATTTTGATATAAAGGTAAGCGAATGTGTAAATATATCTTTCCAACTGAAAACATACTAAGTTTATTATTTATTATTTCGAGTTAAAAAGTTTATGCCCATCCGATACACAACAAAATCAACCTCATTTTCTTTAATACAATGAGATCTGATTGAGCTTCAATATATAGTTTTCAAATAGTTTTCTAAAAATTTTTTTGTATTTAATAACTTTTTCAAGTTTTAATATATTTCTGTGACAAATTTTTATTTTTTAATTTTTTTATCATGTAATCATATCGCTGTGATTATATATTCACATTTGTATTTGTTTTAATAGTCATTTGATTGATAAATGTCATAAATGTCCTTCTAAAACCTTTCTGAAGCTTATTTTTCTTATTTTCTTATAACAAATAATATAGATTTTTCTTATTTTTCAACAATTCATCATAATTTGTCGCTAATTGTCTTGACAAATTGTTTACGACCAATACTATTAAATTTTCTCAGAAAGATTTCAAAAGCAGTTGATAGTATTTTTGAAAATTTCATTTATATATCGTTAAAGAAACCATGTAAAGAACTCGAGATCTATGTGGTACTGGCGTGGAGTTTTGAAAATACAAATCGATAGTTATGACTGTATGATAGTTATCTTTCCATATAGAGGTGATTACTTAGAGAAAATCTATTTGGTAAACGAAAGATATAATTGATATTGATAAGAGACAAGTGATATTAATAAGCGATAAGTGAAGTGATATAATGGAATTTTTGCTACAAAATAAAACTAGCTAGCAAACAAATTTCCTAAACTATATTTAATAATAATAGTGTGTACTAGTTGACATTATATGAAAATTTTTTCAATTTTCGTTACGTATATATATATATATCATCGATTTTGTTAGTAGCATTCAGGCATAAGATCGAAAGAATATTAGTGCATAGTGAAGGCAACTGAAATCGTTCGTTCCATTCAAACCGGAAATTTCTTATTCTTTTTGCTTGTTTTGGTCAATTTTAAGTTTCAGACGGCATAAATTTCTTCAAAAATTTTTCTCATAATTCTTCTTTCATATTTTCCTTCGCTAATCATGAATTTTTTTCTTTTTGTGCCTTTCTATTAATCGTTTCAAAGCACCTTAGCACTTTATTAATCACAGCCTATTAGCATTAAAAATGAAAGCCAAAGCTGTGAAACTCGATAACAAGTAATTTATTCTCCGATACTTTTCTGTGATTCTTCAAAGAAAGTTAATTTTGGAATGCTGAATTTAAATTTAAAGATAAGTCAAAGTTATAATAATCAATCATAAATCTTTATTGGAATTGATGACTAAAAATAAATGTTCTAATTAGTATTTTAATTTTAATTAATTTTGGTTGATATAATTAATTTATCTAAAAATTTTACTGAGCGCTAAAAATTTTCTAAAAATTTTAATAATAATCTATAATTACTTTGGTCAGGCAAATCATTTAAGCCTTAGGTGAGCACCTTTGCTTGATAAATGCTTCGAAATAGCAAATGAGGAGCAGAATGGCTCAACGGATCGTTGCTATTGTTTCGAAGTGCCAGTGGCGAAGTTCTAATCCCAGCAGAATGTTGGCAACTCGTCTATACTTTTATCATCAAATGGTTTCTTGGCAAGATTTATCTGGTCTGATAAGCCAAATAACATTTTAAAAACTACTTCGAATATTTTAATATAAATATAAATTAATGAAAATGTAAAGAAAAATTAATGAAAATGTAAATATAAAGTTATAATAAAAAAATTTCCCTAAAATATTTATCTTTCCGAGATTTTAATGTTTGCAAATTATTTCTTAAGTTTTTTATTTTCAAAAATACTTCTGCATAATCTTGCCTAATCCATTAGCGATTCATTTTCCATTTTCATATTTAATCACTTTCTATAAATAAATTTTCGGAAAAATTCCGAATTGATTTTGACATATTGCACTATAAAGGAAATATTCTGTCTAGCAATCTGTAAGCGTCCAAATATTCCAATTTTGAATCTTCCCCTACCATTTTTTTTGTCGATCTTCACTCCAATGAAGATACACCCAGCTCGCTGAATGATGTGATGTATACTTCGTAAATTAATCAGAGGGGTCGGTAATATTTCACACGTGGTGATGTGATGTATACTTCGTAAATTAATCAGAGGGGTCGGTAGTATTTCACACGTGGTGTTCTCATGGGCAGAGTGGGTATAAGGCTGGTTTCAAGAGGTAGAAGGGAATTGGGCCTGAACGGGGCTTCTATGGCGTAACTAATCCTTCTTAACTACGGGGAATAGTCGGATAAGTTATGTTGATTTGCATCAGCTCAATAGTCAGTGCTTTCAGAGTTGATTACGTTGTTGGCTGCGACAAATAAGTCAAAATAATAAACAACAGCGCTAACGGGTTAAATGGCGACAACGCTCTCTTCAATGGATTTTACAAGTACTTTAACTCTTATCATCATAAGCTGCCGTCGATTTTTGGCTGTTCATTTGGACCGTCTTCTTTCAGTTAAACTATTGTCTTTTACCAATCTGCCGCTTTTATTCTGTCGATTAAAATTTAAGATCCGTTTTCCGCTTATACACTATAGTTTCCCACTGTAGTTTCGATTGTTGATTCTGGTTCTGCAATTTTGAAGAATTCAAAATGATTTCTAATTTGGCTCTATTAAGCATTATTTAGAATAATAAATTGAATTTTTTAGGTTTTCCATATATTCCATAGCGCTAAGTTTACGATTCCCATTTGTCTTTTGAAATTTACATGTTTAAAATAATTGCTAAAATTCCATAAATAGAAATTTATTTATTGCATATTACCATGAACATGCGATCAAGCAGCTTTTATTCAGTTATCTGTAGAAAATAAATATAACTTTTGTTTTTTTCAAGCATTTCCTATATAAATGAAAATATTGACGTCATTGCCATCAAAATCCATCCATCAGCAATGAAGTTATTTGGACGAGTGGGGAAAGGAAAATGAAAGAAAAAGAAAATGAAAAAAAGGATGACTTTTGCCAATCCAAGATAGGAATAAATAGCTGAAGTGGAAAAAAATCTGCCGAAAATTTCCCAACGGTATTTATAAAATAAAGTTTTTTGACAATGGCAATTGAAAAAGAAATAATGTTCATAAATAAATTGTTCTATTGACTTATCCATCTTTTACATTTTTTTTTTCTTCTCGAACAGTAAAATCTTTTCAATAAATTTTATTAATTGTCGATTTAGTTACTGCTTATTTAAATCAAAACAAAGAAATCGGTTATCACTAAAAACCATTTATAAGCGATTGATAAATAGAGAATGTAAAATAATGTATATTTCCGAAATGCAATTCCCCATCCATTATTTTGTGTTTTCAGCTTTAAAAGTTTTTGTGTTTTTCGGGGGGCATTTGTTTTCTTAACATTTGGGTGTTTCTTGTCCTCAAATTTTTTATCGATTGTCGAAAAATCCTTGACGAACATAATTCTAATTTCTTGGGCTTCTCGAGAAATACTAATTTTGCACTTTTTATTGTAAGATACTAATGATGCTAATTTGCATAATATGCAATAAAATGCAATAAAATTCGCCGATTTTTATAATTTTTTTTATAATATTTATTACAAACATAAATAACAAATTTCACTGTCTCATAGTATATTGAAGAGGAAAATTATGATAATGGCTAATGAAAATTTGAATAAAATTCGTTCATTTAAGAGAAAAAATACAATTATGAGAAAAAAATTGATGAACTTGTTTCGAATTCAAATTGAATTTAACTCGTTAGGAAAAGCAAAAAAGCAACAGAGAAAAAATTAGCTAAAAAAAGAAACTGAGCAATATAAGGAAAATGTAAAGAGATTTATCGCAGTGTTTGTTAAACATCTATGCTAATATTGTTTGCAAGGAATCTATCTATTTGGGATTTTTTTTTGTTTAAAAATAGTTTTGGAAAAATTCTCTTGCATAGTTTTATCTACATTACTTACTACTTAGGCTGACTCCACTGGCTGCAAAAGTAAAGCATTGCTAGGTCGCTTGGTGCACTATCATACTTGGCAGAAATAGATCTCTGGACATTCTATTTGTTCAAAATTTTTCTTTCCTCTTCGCTTCTGGCATCATCCATCACAGGGCTTAGGAAATAGCGAGATTACATGTCAATTCCTATGAACTTTGAAAAAGTTAAAAAATTTGATTTTAATTTTAATGCACTGATTATTGAGGAATCCGACAATCTATTCGTATTTTTTCTCATTGTTTCCTTAAACCCCAATTAATCGACAATCGTTAATTAATTAAAGGCAATGATCGCATTTTACTTATAATTTTAATTTTAATAATATTT